GAAGCGCCGAACATGAGCTTGCCCCGTAGCTTCCCGGCCTGACCAGGCGAAAGCTCTTCGTGCTCGAGGATCATGGAGAGCTCGTCGAAGAGCTCCTTCTTCCGAGACTTCTTGATCTTCAGAAGATACTGCTCGAGATCGTAGGTAACACCCAGGATCGTCGGGTCCGAGCACAGCTGGAGCTTCTGCTGGTCGAACCTCGCTCCCAGCCACCAGTGCACCTTCTCCGCGAGCGCGAACGCACTCGCAGCAGTATCTTCCGGTTCGAACCCGTACTTGTCATCATAGAAGTTGAAAGCAGCCACGTAGAACACGCGCCGGAGAACGTCGGTGATGGCCGCCGAGCATCGGTTGTAATTGTAGACAGCGGAGACCAACCCGAACGAGTGNNCCCACCATCACAAAGAAGGCGACCTTGCCGGTGCTGGGATCCTTCAAGGCCACGACGCTCCACTTCCGATGAGCCGGAGAAATGGGCACTTGGCGATAGGCCCTGCGCTCGTCTAGAACCCATCCACGGAGAGGTTTGTCCGGCAGCCGCGAACGCAGCCACTTGATCACGGCGACGTTCGCGTCTGTAGACGGGAGCTCAAGCTTCTCCGTCACGACGGTGGCCATGTTGATCCCGTTCGAGGTAGCACTGTCCACCCCCCGGACCTTGTTCTTCTGGACGACCTCGAATCTTTGAGTAGGGATCCAGTGATCGTCCCCGACAAGTTCCGAGACCTCCGACTCCTCGAAGAAGGGCCCGATCGCTGCCCCTTCCTCCACATCCTCGAGGGTCGACTCCCAGACCTTGGGAGAGGGCTCGGTCACTGGAGCCCTTTTTATCGCACTTAAGACCTTGGAACGAAACTCCCAGGCCCGCGAACGAAGAGAACCCACCGAGAGGTGTTCAGCATGAGGCTTGCGATCGGCAGCCCATCGATGGGAAGAGGCGATGTCGCCGACGATCGGCATGCCGGCCAGGATCTGGTCCACTAGGTCCACGTCGGGGCACTTAGCTGCTTGCAGGAGCTCGCGCTATAGAGCGACGTGAAAGAAAGTGCCGAGCGCCACCGGCTGATCGTCCCGAGCCCCTCTCAGTAGACGACGAAGGTGACAGTCTGGGATTTGCTTGAGCACCTTGTCGGATTCGGGAATAAGAGCGCGAGCGCGTTCATCCCAGTGTTGCAAAAGAGAAACCCGGCTGTCGCAGACTCCAGCCGGGTCATCCACAATCTTCTGCAGGACTGCTTGGAGATCCGAATCGATCGCAGCGTCCTTAGTGAAAGGATGAATCGCGTTCGAGGCAAACTCGATCGCCTCGCCCGGATGCATCTCCGTGGTGATCAACGGGAGGACAACGGACTTTTTCATCTGGTAGCCCGCCGCGATCGCCTTCTGTCCAGAAGATCGCTGGCGATGCTCACAACCCGGGGCGGCGTGAGGTCGCTTGCGATCGGCATCCTCGGTTGTCAAGGCGAAGGTCGGGATTTGCCAAGGCACATCGGCGTGATCACCCGTATGCACTGGCGCCGGCTTGAACCTCAGCTGTAGGAGCTGTTCGAACTCGTCGGCAGGGATCCTGTCGACGCCCTGCACCGAATAGACGGCCAGAACCACCCGTGTGCCTTCCCACGGCAGGGTCATACGCAGAGCTTCTTTGGCATTGAACACGATCGTTTCATGCTCAAAGTCTGTGTTGGTACCCTGGATAGTCCGACCGTCTATCTCCTGCGGGTCGAGCCCGAGCGGGTCTTCGATCCAAAGCCCACCCCCTTGAAAATCGCTGAGTTTGATGACCACGTTCGGGACGGCCTCATTGCCTGAGTCGCGATGGGGCCTCGCTTCCTGATCATAGAGGATGCCGAACGATGTGAACACGATCTCTGGCACCTTCTGCTGGATGTACCGGGTGATCGCCTGAATCGACCACGGCCACGAAAGGCACGACGATCTGAGTCGCGTGATCCCACCATGCCGATAGGCGCCAGCGAAGAAAGCACTGCCCCGCTTGCCGGCCGCCTTGTGCTGTCCCTGATTCGGGAGGTAGAAAGCGAGCTGCAGTATCTCTTCGCGTAAGAGCGGGGCTTTCTTGGCCACAAGCTCTTGCGCAATCGCCTCCGCGTCCACGTCGCCCATCACACCCGAAAGTGCGAGGTAGGGACGAAAGTCAGCTCCAGAGGGAACAGTTCAGTGGTTGCCGATCATGGCATGCGGCGCCCCGCAGACCATACATAAGTGCTTGAACCGGCAATTATCCCCCGAGATGCAACCGAGCGACGAATTGAAGTAGTGGCACCGGCGAGCGCCTTGAACCTTCTTTGCCGCATCGGCGATCAGCTTCCACTCCTTCTCGGGGATACGATCGTCCCTCTTTGGCTTCTTGTTCGGGTCCTCTTTGGCGATCTTCTTCGGTGTCTCCTCCTTCCCCGATGTCTGCAATCGCTTCTTCTTCCTCCCCCCGTGCGTGCGCTTGAAGGGGTTGCGCGGGATCGGAGGGAGAGCTCCTTCTTCTTGGACCTGATCAGGGTTGGAGATGAGCTGCTGGCGATTGTGCTCGACCTTCGACAGCGTGACGCTGGTTCTCGCGTCGTTCCACAAGTCCACAAGTACTTGTGGTTGTTGAGCACCTCGATCAAGGCTTGCGAAAAGGCCGTATATGTCGCCCTTTGCTCCGAAAGGAGGCGGAAGATCTTCTTCCTTATTGCCCGATCGGCCGCCATCAAGAAAGGCAGACCAGGGCATTCCGATCGAAATTGCTCGAGCTCCTGCAGGTACTTGAGCGGGCCTTCTGCCCGCGAGAACGTGCAGATGTTCAAGTACTCGAGCGACATGAAGAAAGCGTGGAGCCGGTTGAACAGCGTGGTGACATCAGTCACCGGCTCGGGCTGATCAGCTCTCGATATCGACAGCAGATCCTCTGCATTACGAGAGAGCCCAGACTTTACCACGATCACGTCGGCTCGGGTCCTGATCTCGGCCGGCTCGTAGAAAGGAACTATGCCGCGGATGAGGAAATCCCGCGAAAGGCGCTCCACGAACTTCTTGTGTGGTTCCTTGGCATCGATCAAGATCACGTCCGGGTGAACCCGCACGAAGCGATCGCGGAACTCTGCATGATCCTCCTGCGAGAGCTCCGGGAT